CCCTGCCTCAAAAAAAAATTAAAGAGCAGTGAAGAGCCTCAATAGTCTACACACAAAGCCTTAGGTTAATGAAAATAATCTCTCTCAGAGAAATTAACCTACTTTTATACAGAATAGATATTAGTTTTTAAACCTAGTAATTCATATTGTTTAGAGCTGTGTTCTGGGCTTTTTAGGTGAGACCTATGTTAACAAATGGTGTCATAAGTTAGAATGAACCTGAAAATGAATTTTTTATTAATGGGAAAGATTAAACAGGAAAAATGAAAGTTGAGAGCATTTTCTTTGAGTTATGCAGTCTTATGCAAACACAAAGTGCACTGTGAAAGTGTTTTATTTCTATTCAGCCTACTGAAAAATAGGACAGCAGTAACTTCATTGTCTTTTATTACTGATATCCCAACCTAGAACTTTCCTCTTCTTCAGCTCCACCAAACAAAATCCTAAAAGTCCAAATCCACTTCTACCTTTAAAGAATTTGCTTGACTAATTCCAATCTGGCATGATCTGAAGATTATTAATTTCCACACTGAATGAACTTTAGCAATCACTGAATATATATGTCTTCTGCTTTCCTGATAGATGGTCATTATGCTTGAACCTTGCCACTGTCTAATGCTTTTAATTTGACAAAACAGTAAGTTGAAAAGTATCTCTTTGTCAGTTACCCTTTTTTGGACTTTGTTTGTCTCCCTCCCTTCCCCTGGAGAGCCACACGGTGAGTTTCATCTAACTTTGCCTCAGCAGTTTTAACTTCTCCATGTTTTCTCCTCTTTAAGCTATGGATCTTCAGTTCCTAGAGCCTTGCTTCATGTCACATATTTTGTGGATGTCTCAACATTGCTGGTTTCTGTTCTCCAGATGTAGCCATCTATGGAAGTCTCTTCAAAATAAGAAGAGACTTATTCTTATTCATACTTCCTCTTATTCTTATTCATACTTATTCATACTTCCTCTGTATGGTGTGACTAGGGCAGAGAATATTAGAAATCTCAAATGGTCATGACTCAGATGCTAGCTTCTTTTTAATGCAGTTTAAAAATAAATTATCTTGCTTAACAGCTATGTTATACCACCACATATTGAAATTTTTGTTTTAAATAACTTTTTCCTGACTTGGACATTTATTACTCATCCTATACTTGCAAAACTGATTTTTGTAAACCTAAAAGCAAGACTTCAAACTTCATCTTGTGGGTTTATGTTTGATGGTTTGAGATCTTTAAAATCTTTATTAATATTTATAATTTAATTATTCCACCCAGATATTTTTATACCTAGGAAGTCAATAAACATGGCTTTAATTGATATATTATAAGTAATCTAATACAGCTATCTAACACATGGTGGTAGAAATAGCTCTCATCTCTGAGTATCTATTACTCTAGCCTATATCTGTTCATTTGAAAAAGGCCAATTGAGTGCCTGCTACATCCCAGGTACAGTTTTAGGTGTTATGGACATAACAGCAAATAAGACAGGCAAATCCTTACTCCCTTTGATCTTATATTCTTATGGGCATAGGCAAAATAACCAAATAACAAAACAAACAAGGTACTTTGTCCCAGTGATATGAGGAACATAAAGCACAGCAAAGAGATAGCAGAGGTGGTGATCTGGGGTATTATTTTAAACAGATGGGTCCATGAAGACTCACCTCAGAAGGTAACATTTTGGCAGACAACAGGAACTGTGAAGAAGTATGCTATGTGAAGATGTAGGGGAAGACATCACCAAGAAATCATAATAAGTGCAATATTTAAAGAGGGAACAGGCTTTCAAGAAGGAGAGAGGATATAAGGCCAGTGTGAGCAAAGTATAGTGAACCAGGAGAGTAACAAGTGGTGATCAATAAGCCATTGTAAGGACTTGGGACTTGTTTTAAATCATTGGGAAGCATTTGGAGGAATTTAAGCTAGGGAGTAATTTGATAGGATTTAAATTTTATAAAGAATAATTTTGACTGATGTTAAGTTAAAATATAGGACAAGAGTGTAACAAAAAGAATCCATATAATATGACTTTGCAGAAATTCAAACTAGAGGTGATAGTGACTTTGTTATAATAGTGAATGAGGAGGTAAGGGACATATTTTGAAGGAAGACCCATCAAATTACTGATAGCCTGGACATATGGTGACTGGTTAAGAGAAGTGAATAACAGAATGACGTTAATTGCCTCTTTTGTGATTTGGCTTTATGTATGTCTTCTATTGTCAATCACACTATAAACATTTCAAGGATAGTGACTCCACTTTTCTCATATCACCTTAGTTTCAAGTGTACAGTAGATAATTACTCTACTTACTAAATGGTAATTGATTATTGAAGGTTATCCTAATGCTCTCCTTTCATTCCTTATCATTCCTTCTTTGAAATGTCTCAGATATCATCATTTATTTTTTAATATTTTTATTAATATATAATAGTTGTACAGGAAGTTTCATTGTGACATTTCCTTATATGCATACAATATAAACCAGTTTGGTTCATCCCCTCCATTATTCTTCCTCGTCACCCTCCCTCTCTTAAAAGGACTTTGACAGGTTTTAATGCTTTATATTCATACATATATAGAAAGTACCTCTACCATATTCATCTTCCTTTACCCTCCCCATCCCACTAGTATCCTGTCCTTAACATGACCTGTTTTACATTCCTGTCCTTCATTGTTTAAGTGTCTGCTCGTTGTTCAGGGGGTTTTGCTTTGGTATTTCACCTGTAAATATATTGTACTTTAATTAGCTTAACACAGTCTATTATACTTCCTTACTCTTTCCCCCATACCCCACATTGTTCAACAGCTTTCAGTGCATTTTGTTGTGAGTCATTCCTACACAAATGCTATGTATTCCAGTATTACCCATTCTCTATCATTCTCTTCTCCTTTCCCTCCTTCCTTAGTCTCCTCAAATAGTTCCACTGTTGGAAACATGTTCCATATATATGTATATATTATAGTGCTTGCATTTGTACATGTATCTGTCTTCCACATATGACAGAACACATGTGACCTTTTGTCTCTCTGAACCTGGCTTACTTCACTTAATAAGTGTAGCCCAGGCTGGTTTTGAACTAGTGATCCTCCTCTTACCCTTATTGACTTTCAACATGTGCCACCATGACTGACTCCATCATTTTTATTCATTCCTGATCTTCACAGACTGATCTAGACTCAAGTCATCTAGAAGCTGGATTACCACTGTAACTATCTAACTGTTTTGTCTTACACCAGCCCATCCCAATCTGACTCAAATGTAAATTAATGACTTGAAAGATTTGCTTTCAGTCATTCACTCAAGAAGTAATTACTGATTTGTTTAATTTGTGTCCAAGAATTTGTTGATGCTAGATACTTTAAAAATGGACAATCACTGCCTTCCTGGAGCTACATTTGCAATAACTAAAAATATTGAGTATAACTGATAATAAGTGCTATGAAGAGTAATAAAACAGTAAAGTGGGTATAAGCAGTGTTAAGAAGATCAGCATTTTACGTACAGAACATATCTTTAAAGAGATTACATTTGACCAGATATTTGAGCAAGTAAAGAATAAGTCATACAAAGTTTGGAGGGCACAACAGTACATCTCTGATGGGGGCATGAGCTTTACTTGTTTGAGAAATGGAAAGAAGGCTGGTATAATTGGAAAGTGAATTATGGCAGAGTGGCAGCAGGTGAGGTCAGAAAGATGGCAAGACTAGATCACTTAAGGTCGTGGGGACATGGTGAGAAATTTGCATTTTATACTACATGAAAATAGAAGCCACGAGCAATCTGGAAATGGGCATGATCTGGCTTTTGTTTGAAAAAGTCATCTAAGCTGCTTTGTAGATCCTGGATTGTAGAGAATTGAGGTTCCTTGTTCCAGGGGTTTTTGATGGCTTTAATTGAGTCAAAGTTTTCTACCTATTTTTTTTCCTGCCTATTTTCAAAAGCTGTTATCATCAGCCTCTACAATCTTTCTCTATTTCTCAACATTTGCCCTTTATTTGTCAAGTTGGTTTCATCATGGACCTATTCATATTATACATTTTTATACTTGTCTACTTGTACCTATTTCCCTAATATAAGGCAATGGCTTCCTTCTTTGAACTAACAGTCAATTTCCAATTATAACAGAATGATTCCTCAATTTTCCATCTTACTGAAGTTTCCAGTCATAAAAGAATGTAGGCTTTGTCTGTAGTTCATAACTGAGCATATGACCATGTGCTTTATTTTATAATTGCTAATGTTTACAATGTGCTATTCATATCTTTCAAATGATGTTGCAAGCTCTATAGTAGCAGAGAACCAACAAATTCTGTATCTTCCATGGCATCCAGCAAACTGGGGAAGTGTATCAAGTGAGTGGTGACTGATGAAACATGTAGCTTGACATTTTTCCTGGTATGGTGGTAATTAAGGTAAGTACTAGTAAAATAGGGATTGAGGTTGGGTGAAGAGAGCTTATAATTTCTTGCCTCAGTCAACACAGTCAACCAGTCACATATATGAGCATATTGAAAAAATTCCAAAGATTTTAATAAAACTCTCTATATGCCTGTCAATTGAACACCAACTGTATTTCTTCATGTTATCATTTGGTTTGGGCAATGTGGGACAATTTTGCTGAAAGCGAATCTCAAATTAGAAGACCAGGCATCACCTGTTTAAATGACTGTTATAAAATTACTATAATCATAAAGATACTGGATGTTCACAGCTATTCAAAAGAGGGGGTACAGAGGCCTGGCCATAGATCCAGCTGATATGTGCCGGCAAGAGGCAGCCCAACTGCAAGCAGCCATCTGTCCTCCCCCCTCCCCACTCTTGGGTTCTGAGCTGAGGCCAGAGACTGTCCAGAGCTGATCTCGGGCTCCCATTGGTCGCTGTCTTTCGTGACGTCACGATCATGATGAGAATTGATGATCGGACACGTTGATTTCATTGTCTGAGGCGGCAGTGGAAACCCAGGAAAATTCTCGCGGAATCCGCCTGCCCCAACACTGGCCTGATCTGGGATCCTCTGATCCCTTCCGTGACCGCACCACGCCGGAGGTAAGCGCCCAACCTGGGTGTGTGTGAAGGGCAAAGGAGGGTGTGAAAGGCACTAGGATAATGCTGTGCCCAGTGGGGTACCCGTAGCTTCTGTGGCCTGAAGAGGCGGCCAACAAATTGGTATTGCTTCTGTAGGTCCCACTGCCGCTACCCTGCTAGCACAGGCTGGCAGCAGCGTGAGGTTAGAAATGATCTGACGGTAGGGATACAGTGAGCGTTGTCAGAAAGCATAGGACCTTGATCCTAGAGAAGGTGATGTTTGGGACGCACTTTCGGCTGGGTAGCATGAGGAAGTGGCGGCTCTGCTTCGGAAGAAAGGACGGGGTTGAATTCTACCACATCTATATTTCACTGGACAGTAGATTTCTCACAGACCTACTCACAAGCACCGAGGACGCTGCGCCTGCGCATCAGAACATCGGTGGGTGTGTGGGGGGGTCATGGCTAGGACACTTGGCATGGAGCTTGCGCAGGCGCTTTTTTCCTTTCCCTGGAGGGGGTGGGGCTGAGCTCTGTTTGGGCTGAATATGGGAAAGGTTAAGGAGTTGGCCTTGAGATGTTTCAAATGCCAGCTGATGTGGAGGGATCTGCCGTTTATTTTTTAATTTGGCCAACTGAGTATACGCATCCCCAAAATGGGCCTGATAAATTTGAGAAGGCAAATTAGTAATCTTCAGATTTTTAGGTTAGAAATAACGGAAAAAGACTTGAAGAATTTGTGGAATGGAAAGTTATCAGATGAGAAATCATTTGGAGGGAGAAAAAAATCACTAATTATTCAAATGAATCCAACTTTTCTCTTCAAGAAGCTCTGATTTGAGGTGACATTCAGGTATTTTGAACATAAAACTTTTTGGAGAGACAGTGAGGTCAATTCATTGTAAGAATCAAAGAAAGAAAATTGCATTCTTTTCTTCTTCTCGGTTCAGTCCCTTAACTCTTTAATCCCTGTTCCAGTTTTGGTCCTGTCCTTTTTTCTTCTTCCTCTGTGTTTATATTAAAATTACCTAAGTCAATTCCTATTTTAAGGGACCTTGTCCAGCACCCCTTCTTTCGGAGGAGCTATGTTTCTCAGCGCTTGTGAAGAACAACCTCCCTATTGGTCCTTGAAGGAAATATTGTAGTTCCCTCCACAGTCCTGTCAAGGATTCTTATTTCACAGATGATTCTAGGTTTTCTCCATTTCTTGTAGTTAAGGAATTATAAAATCATTGTGAATCTTCCTTTGAAAGACTTCTCACACTATTTTCACTTACTTTGCAATTTAAGCTTTCTTTGCTAAACTTTAGTCACTAAAGGAACTTCCTAGCCAGTGTTCAGCTATGCCCCAAATCCTTAATTTATCCCACCAAACTGATCTGTGAGCATTTCTTCAATGTCATTTTCTGTAACCAAAATATGTGTTGTTCCCTATTTTATATCGTTCCAAGTCAAATTCCTAGATTTTGAAGAATTTCATAATACTTTATAGCCTCATTGAGTCACAGGAGCCTTATCTTACTTTATTCTTCAGTGCACAACTCCTCTTTAATGTTGCTTGAACAATCTACTTCCGTAGCTTTGCTTCTTACACCACCATGATATCCTTAATTTAAATCTTGCCCACTTTGGAAGCTCTGTTCTAGTTATACCTCTCCATAAGTGCCTTCCAAGTCTAACTCAACTGTTACATAGATCACCTTTCTGAGAATTCCCACATCAGTTCTTATATTTGTTACTTCATACAAGCTATTGTCTATTTTCTTCTTAGTGTATGTGTGTGTTTGTGTGTGTGTGTGTGTGTTTGTGTGTGTGTGTAAGAGTGGACTCCTTAACTGGATCTTATACCCTTCCTTAAGGAATAAAACCATGCCATCTACTTTATCATCTACCCACACAAACTGGCTGACTAATCAAAATAGCTTTAGGCATCTAAGATTGTTTTTTCCTTGAAAACAATTCCTTGGAGAGGGAAGTAATATTATTATAGAGAGAGCTGTACACATGTGAAAATTTACTCATCATTAGCCAGGCAAGGTATCCTTCAGTAACTGAATAAACCTGCATGTAAGTCTGGAAAAAAGCATTATAGACGTCCCTATGTAGTAAGTTACTTACATCATGTTACCATAAATAAGACTAAGGGACAATTATCTTTGTAATTTTCTCAGTGAAGGCTACTAAATTTACCATTGTTCTATACTACCCTCTGATGATGTTGCATCATATATCTTCTCTTGAAATCTATTAATTACTCAATTTTATTTCATTATATCTTCAATTCCTGTTTTGTATTGACTATCCCTGATAGTTTTCATTTGCCCATCTCTTGAAACACAGCTGATTATCATGATTGTTGCCATAATTGCTATTATATAATATAAAGGTTGTCACTTCAATATCCTTTGGCCTTCAAACTGCATCATTCCATAGAGCTCAAGTTTTACTTGATTGATAGTGAAATCGTGATATAGAGACATCACATTTAAATCTCACAACATGCCTATGAGATTACAGATTTCTCTTCAGCTCCTGCTTCACTTTGAGGTATCATCTCAATGTTATATCAAGGTTTAAAATTTCAGAATATGGATAAAAAGTAGTTCAGAGGGGTATTATAACCTGTAAATTTAAAAATAATTGTCATAGATCACCATAGGTGAACTATGAATGTTGTTTACTGTGAGGGGTGAGGGAAAATTCTTTCGCTTTGACCTTTTCTCTTATTATATAAATTATGTGAGTCCCCTCAAAGTTGTTTCAGCTTGTAGCCAGCTTGTTTAGTAAATAAGATTTTCCTAGACATTTACATGTAGACCAATAGACAAAATAGTTCAACTAGGCAGTTATAGGTAGAATGTGATACTTAGGAATATGCTGTTCTTTTTAGAGAGCTTAAAATAAAAGATCAAAAATGAGAGTGTGGTGTTTGTGTTTCAAGGTTTATTTTACAATTCCAAAGTGAATAAGAGCATTGATGACATTGGATTTTTTTCAATTAAGTTGTAGAAGTCCACGGAGTGAACTTGTTCAAAGTACACGATATGCACCTATAGAATTATCACAATGAAAACTCCTTTGTACTATTAATGTATGCTAATAAAATTTTTTAAAAAAATTATCAGGTCAAACTGGAATGAACTTTCTAATGATAAATCAGTCTTCTCATTTTATGTGGGAGGAATCAAATGCCCAGAGATTGAAGAACCTTGCCTTGTATTTCCAACTTTACATGAATGTATTATTATGTTTAAACTTCACTACATGCCTATAAGATACTTTTTAGTATTATTTCCCATTTTACAAATAAGAAACCAGATGCTCAAAGTAGTTGACTTGTCCAGACCACACAGCTACTAAATGTCACAGTCAGAAAACTAATGTAGGTCTGTTTGACTCATTATCACCAGGCTATGGCTAAGAAAGATAAGGTAATAAATTTTTAGCAGAGATCTCTGGAGTCCTCTCTCAGTATGTGTGTATTTGTATATTTACTATGAACCATACCACTTCTACAAAGTCTAATTTTAAAAGATGATGTGAAATTTTGTAGGTTTCAAAACCATTCATTTTATTTTTTAAATTGTATTGTACAGACAGTATTCTATTTTTATACAGTGTAATCTCTAAAAATAGTTTTCTATTTTTACACAGGGTAAAAAATTGAATTGTCGATATTGATTTTATAGTGGAGTCAACTAAAACTGAAATTGGTGCTGTCATATACTTGCATTGAGTATACTATATTCAGGCATACTGATTTGGAAGCAAAAGGAGATAATTCTAGAGAAATAAATTCTGTATAAGAAAGCATCTGGAATGGCTAGGGTTAAGGATGTGACTTAGAAGTGAGTATGTCTTTCTTATTATTGCTTATGTCTATTCTCTAACAAAATTGGAGAAAAGAGCAGAACAGTTTCTGCCTGGAAGCGAGGGGGAGGAAGGGGGCTGGGGGCAGGGGGGAGAAATGGCCCAAACAATGTATGCACATATGAGTAATTGAATAAAGAAAAAAAAGAAGAAGTGGAGCACTTGCCTAATAAGAAGAGACCCTAAGTCTGATCCCCAACAAAACACACACACACACACACACACACACACACACACACATACACACACACACAGTTGGAGCGTTTAGCATATTAAGAACCTGTCACTGACACCCTGAAAACTTTTCAGTCTCCAAAAATTTCAGTATGATAAATTGACACCTGTCTGTACAAGTAGTCATCCTGTGCTGTGCCAGCTAGTAGAAAAACTGCCTGGATTAAATCACAGGTCTAGGCATACTGAAACTGGATACATGAGATTGTACCATGTCAGTCAGCCAAACTACAGTTCACAGCTACCATCTGTAAAAACATACAACAGTAGCTGTCCTGCCTCCTTGGTGTCCTATTGTTTTAGGAGTAGATTCATGTCCAATTGAGTTAATTTTCATTAAACCTGTTGTCAGAATGGAAAAAGAAAATCAAGAAAACATCTCCTTAGCCTTTCTTTCCTTGCAATTAGAAAGGATGCTCTCTGATAATAATGCAATCAAACTAAAACTTAATAAAACAAAGGTTTCTGGGAAATCTTCAAATATTTGGAAACTAAACAAAGTACTTGTAAGTAATCAATGGTTCAAAGAAGAAATCACAAAGGAAATAAGAAAGTACTTTGTAATCAGTGAAAATGAAATCACAACATACTAAAGTATGTGAATGCAATTAAATCAGTGCTTAGAAAACAATTTAGATCACTAGAAACACAGTAGATAAATAGGAAGCTTGAAAAATTATTGCATGAGCATTACCTTAACAAACTACAATTAGAAGAGCAAATAAGCCCAAACATAGAGGAAGAAATAAGAGCAGAAATAAATGAAATAGAATACAAAAAAAGCAATAAAAAAAAAAAACACAGTGAAACCAAAAGCTTTATGTTTAGAAAAAGACTATCTAGCCAAAAAGAGAGATGACAATTTCCAGCATGAAGAATGAGGGAGAAGGTATCACAACAAATTGTATACATCCTAA